TTTGCTCAGCCACCCAGTGGTGATCTGGTACCTTCTATAGGCTACTTCTCTTTCGTTCACTCTACAGGTATTTATTGAGCACTCATTATGCACTGGATAATGAGAAGATTGCAATGAACAAGGCAAACACAGACCCCGCCCTCATGAAGCTTATTGTTTACTGGGAGAAATGGGCAATACCTAGGTAACCAAACAAGAGTGGGACAGTGGGTACCCCGAGGGGAAGACTTTTCTGAGCTGCTTTTGATGGTGAGACCTAAAGAATGAGAAGAAGCCAGAGGGAAGTGGATAGAGTGTCCTAGTCAGAGGGAGCAGTTCTGTGAGAGGCCAGGGCCTGGAGGAGGTCAGCGAAGCGGGCAACCAACCAAGCTGGGCTCCCAGTCCAGGCATGATAAGGGGTCTGGGTTCCATTCCAATATAATGGGGAGCCACCAAAGGGTTTAAGGCAGGAGAATGGCTGGCCCGATTTGTGTGTTAAAAAGATGACTGTGGCTATGGTATGGGGGGATTAGATTGATGGGGGCAAGTGATGAAAGAGAGAAAGAAGCCTCTTCAGAGATGGTGGCAGTGGGGGAGGAAAAAAGAGAAAGATTTGAAAGATTTTTTAGGAGGTAGAAATGGCAGGATTGGCTGGTGAATTAGATATGAAGACAAGGGGGTGGGAAAACCAAGGCTGGCACCAGGTTTCTGGCTTCAGTACTTGGGTGTCCATTGCAGGGCAGGGGGGATGAGCGATCGATAGTTCCATCAGAGATGACTGTGCGGGTGCAAGGAGAGATGTCAGGTAGGCAGTCAGATATATGAGTCTGAGCTTGGACTGGGGATTTGGGTAGGAGATATAAATTTGGGAGTTGTCAGTCTTGAGAACGAATATTATCCCCTAGTGAAAGGGGACAGAGGGGAGAAGGGGACCCAGGACCAAGCCTGGGGACTCCAACATCAAGAGGGCAGAGAGAGGAGGAAGAACCTACTAGGGGAAAAGGAGAGGGAGGCAGAGAGAGAGAGAAGGAAAACCAGAGGAGGGTGGCAACCTCAGGGGCAAGAGAGCAGTGTTTTAAGAGGGAAGTGGTGTGGTGGAGACTGAGGGAGACTAGAAAGGGTGTCCTTGGATGTGGCCACACAAAAGCTCCCAATGACAGTAACAAGAGTGGCTTGGCTGGAATTGGGTGCGGGGAGGATGTGGGTTGGGGTGGGGTAAATGGGTAGAGAGACAGTGGAGACAGCTTGTGAAGACAACTCTGAGAACTTTAGTTATAAAGGGCAATAAAGAAATATACCCACAGAGGATGAGCGATGAGGGTGGGATGTTTTTGGAAGAGAAATACTAGATTGTGTTTGGAAACTCTCAAAATGATCACTGGAGAGTTCTCGAGATTGTGCTTCTGCTGTTTCTGTAATAATGATGAGAACATACAACTGTGTAACTCTTCACAGTTTACCAAGTGTTGTCACACACTCTTATCCTCGCAGCCATCCTGTGAGTTATGTGGCCATAGATGTAGTAGAAGTAATGAGGAAGCTGAAGCTTGGAGAAATGAGTGTCAAGCTCAAGGTCAGCGCCAGAAAGTGGCAGGGCCAGAAGCCCATGCCCAGGCTGCTCTGGACCCAACCCCCAGGTCCCTCCCTGCCCATCGCAGCCCTGCCCCAGCAAACTGGCACCAACATCGGATGGCACTCACATAACTGTGGGTTGTGCCCTGCTGGTGTCTCTCGAGCAGACTTTCCAGTTGCCTCCAAGCCCATCACTTCTGCCTGCTGGCCCAGCCTTGGAGATTATGAAGTCACATCTGCTTTTTAAGAACATGGACCCTGTCCCACTGCCTAACCCCGTTTCACTGAACTTCTAGAGTTGCCCCCACAACCTCTGGCAGGTGTCACAAGAAGAAGCATGAAATCTCACATACCGTACATCCAGCTCCCCAGGCAGATTGGTGTAGGAACTGACATCCCTTTTGTGACCCTCTGATTTAGTCCAAATCTCTTGTTTTGTGGAAGAGAACCCCAGAACATGGGTTTCTGACCAGCCAAAGTCGCAAAGCTAACCTCTGGCAGAGTCAAGACCTGCGAGAAACAAATGAAATCAAGGATGAGAAGGTTCTTTGTAAATTGTAAAGTGCTGTAGAAATGTAGGGTTATTATCTCCAGTGTTGACATGAAATCCTCAGGCATTGCTCACCATCACTACTCTGGGAGAGGCTGCCAGAAAAAAATTTAAAAATGCAGAGAACTGCCCGACCAACGTGGCTCAGTGGTTGAGCGTTGACCTATGAACCAGGAGGTCACGGTTCAATTCCTGATCAGGACATATGCCCGGGTTGTGGGCTTGATCCCTAGTTGCAGGCTCAATCCCTAGTTGGGAGTGTGAGAGGCTGTTGATCAATGATTGTCATCACTGATGTTTCTATCTCTCTCTACCACTCCCTTCCTCTCTGAAATCAATAAAAAAATATATATTTTTTAAATGCAACCCTAGCTGGTTTGGCTCAGTGGATAGAGCATCAGCCTGTGGACTGAAGAGTTCTGGGTTTGATTCTGGTCAAGGGCACATACCAGGGTTGCAGGCTTGATCCCCAGTAGAGGGCATGCAGGAGGCAGCTGATCAATGATTCTCTGTCATCATTGATATTCCTCCGTGTCTGTCTGTCTGTCTGTCTGTCTCTCTCTCTCTCTCTCTCTCTCTCTCTCCCTCTCTCCCTCTCTCCCTCTCTCCCTCTTTCCCTCTCTCCCTCTCTCCCTCTCCCTTCCCCTCTGAAATATATTTTATAAAATGCAGAGCACTAAGAGTGTTGGCATCATAGGCAACATGGCAAGAACATAGGATTTGGACCCTGGAGACGGTTAGAGGCCCAGCACTGCCAGGTATGAGCTGTGTAACCTCGGACAGCTCACTTTGCCTCTCTGACCCTCAGGTTTTTTTTCTAGAAAAATGCCTTACCTACCTTCTTTCTGGGATTATGTGGGGTTCGGGTGAGACAATGCTTATGAAAGTGCTTTTAACGAGGCCCAGAACCCTAGGACTACGTGTCTTGTGAGGAGCAGTAGGGACGGTGGCAAACAGAAGACCCAGAGGCTTGGAGGACTAGTGTTGAGCACCCAGAAGGCACTTCCTGTCCCTGGGGGCTGGAGCCAGCTGCTGACAGTGCTGGAACCCGTATACTGTCTCTCCTGCCTAGAAGTGTCCCCAGGTCATGCCGTGTCCTTAACACAGCCCTCAGACGATCTTTGTCAAGATGTCTGATGTGCGACCTTCCATCACCCGGTGCTGACTCAGCCCCCGGTGAGCTCTGTCTCCCCTTTCACACACTGTGGGTGCCAAAAGGCTCCCGGCCAGTTGCTCAGCATCCCCCAAATTTCACTGGCTCTGCACTTGGTGATGAAGGAGAGGGCCAACTTGGATCTGTTTCAAGGAAGCAAGAAGTGATTTCTCTCAAAGACCTTGGGGAGTTCTTCCCGCCCTCCAAGTGTTCTCTGCCCCGGACCATCCAGAGGCTGGCAGCTGAACTCAGGATGCTCATGCCCGGGTTAGAACAAAGGCAGGAGACCAGGGACTAGTGCATGGAGGCTGGCCAGGTTCCTTTGGAGAGCCTGGCAAGCTGGTTTTCCAGGAGCAGTAAGAGGCCTTCACACAATCATGGCTGTGCTGTCTGGGGGGTGACCTTGGGGCATGCCACTTTCTCCAGATGGAAACTCGAGGGGAAGAAATCGACCATGGGGCCCCTAAACCCTTATGACTCAGCCGTGGGCTCTGAGGTCTCCCTCATTCAGTCATTCAACAAATATTTATTGAGCACCTCTGTGTGCCAGGCACTGTTGTAGGCCCTGGGGAACAAAACAGACAGAAAGCTCTGCCCTCGTGGAGCTGACATTCCAGTGGGATCAGACAGAGAAGGAACAGATGACCAAGAAGAGACAGATGGTCAGCTGGTGGTAACAGCCATGGGGGAAGAGCAGGGGGCGGAATAAGGAGAGCGGGTGGAAGTGGTTGCAGGTTTCAGGAATGTGGGCAGGAGGGCCTCACTGAGAAGCAACAATTGAGCCAGGGCCTGAGGGAGGTGAAGGAAGGAGGCAGCCATGTGGACGTCTGCAGGAAACGCATCCTGGGCGAGGGAGCAGCAAGAGCCAAGTCCCTGAGGCAAGATCATGCCTGGGGGCCATGGGGCTACGGGAGTGAAACGGGAGAGATGAGGACTGATGAGAACTTTAATCTTTCGGTTTTGAGTTTCATAGAAAAAGAAACCCAGCAGGTTCTGCTAATGACTTTGGATGTGTTCATAATCTCCCGTCTGAGATGCGAATTTCATACATACTGTTTAAGCGCTGGGACTTCCATCAGGAGAAAGCCATCCCAAACCTCACCCACAAAGCCTCCGTTCCTCCTCGGCTCAGTCACGCAGGGGCTCTTGGGATAGCAGAAAGGGCCCGAGTTCAAGTCCCAGCACCTGACACTTACTAGCTGTTACCTTGGGAAGGGCACTGAGCTTCCCTGAGCCTTTGTTTCCCTGATGAAGCTCACCAGTTGCTTCATCTGTAAAATGGGTTAATTACACAGCCTTCCTCACCGCCCTCCCCTAATTGTTGTTAGACTTAAAAGAATGAGATCATAAGTGTGAAAGTGGCTTTGGCATTGAAATGGGCAAGCTGAGTGTCTGGGAGGTTCTTGTTTGCTTCGGGATAGCCTGTGGTAAAAGGCTTGTCACTGGTTTCCCACTCCCCTCCACTCCCCTGCTCCTTATATTGTGTTCCATGAAGGTGGAAAGCAGGAAGAGGCCCGTGTGGGCCCAGTTGACTCTCGCTTTGCCGGGGCCCGATCTGATTCATGGACACTCACCAAACACCCAGGGCCCCCCCAGGGCAAGCTGCTTGAGGGCTCCCCAGGAATTATGTGGGGCTGAATTGCCCCACACTGACCTCTCCGGGAGGACTCTGAGCCCTTTGCCGGTCAGGTGGAGGCAGTGGCCCAGCTGCTCCTCCCCAATGTCCCCTTCCCCTCCCCCATCCAGGTACAACGGCCCCAATCTGGTTCTGAAGTACGACCGGGCCCAGAAGCGGCTGGTGAACATCGCAGTGGACAAGCGCAGCTCCCCCTACTATGCGCTGCGGGACCGGCAGGGCAACGCCATTGGGGTCACAGCCTGTGACATCGACGGGGATGGCCGTGAGGAGATCTACTTCCTCAACACCAATAATGCCTTCTCAGGTAAGGGTTTGGGGCCTCGGGCCTCTTCCTGCTTTCCACCTTCTTCCTCCCAGCACCAGCTGGGGGCAGGGCCTTGGGGACCCTGGCCCTCCTCAGGCTACTGTCATGGGCCCCCCGCCCCTAGACAGAGTCCCCTGATGCCTCCAGGACCTCGCTCTGTCCCAACAGGAGAGCCCCTTCTCTTGTGCATGAAGCTGGCCCTCATCTCCTGGCTGCTGGACCTGGAGATGGAGGGCCTTGAGCAAAAGCCTGTCCTTACCTTCAGACTTTGTCCTCTGGCCTCCCGGTAGGTAGGAGCAGCCTCCAGTCCTCCTAGCCCCTCCCCTCCCCCCCTCCCCACTGCTCCGGCCAGGCTCAACCGCGCAGCACTCTCACCCAGGTGGCCACCATAGCAACAAATGTTGCCCGTAATTGCCCTCCATGCTGTTTCAAGGGGGCCTTTCTAAAATGCTTTGAAATCCTTCAGTGACCCCACAGCTTTCAGCGTAGCTCATTTATTCACACCACAAATCCCTGCCGAGCACCTGCTCCATGCCAGAGGTGCTGGGCAATGGGGGTACAACTTTAAGGAAGACAGACCTTGAGCTCATGGAGCCTCTTCTAGCCCAGAGCGTCCATCCTAGTCACCTGGGGGTCTTGTGGGAATGCGGATTCTGACTCGGCAGCCTAGTGGGGCCCAAGATCCTGCACTGCTCACATACGCTTGGGCTATGATGATGCTGACGGTCCAGGGACCACACTGAGTAGCAAGGTCCTAAGGAATGGAGGAAAGAAATTGATGCACAGAAGGCTAAATAATAGTAACAAATTGGTAACGGGTAGTACGTAAATAGCAAGCAGGCCCTGATCTAAGCACTCTCATAATTATCTCACTTAAGCCTCACAGTAGCTTGATGAGGTTAGGTACTGGTGCATCTCACTTTATAGTTGAGGAACCTGAGGCACAAAGAGATCACATGACTTGCCCAAGGCCACACAACTTGTAAATACCAGGACTCAAACCTAGGGGTCTGACTCCAGCTTTGTCCTTTTAACCAAGACACTCGACAGTGGTTCTCAACCTTCCTAATGCCGCAACCCTTTCATACAGTTCCTCATGTTGTGGTGACCCCCGATTTCATTGTTACAGATTGAACATAATTAAAGCATAGTGATTAATCACAAAAACAATATGTAATTATATATGTGTTTTCCGATGGTCTTAGGCGACCCTATGAAAGTGTTGTTCGACCCCCAAAGGGGTCACGACCCACAGGTTGAGAACCACTGCCCTAGGATGAAGTCTTCTCCTGTGGGGCCATCACATCTGCAGGGGAGTCCCAGGCCAGGGCGTCCTCCTGAAGGATGCAGGACCTCATGTCCCAGTGAGGCCCGCTTGGACGTGCACTGGATTCTTCCAGATGGCAGCAGGCTCTTGGTTTAGTCTGAATGATACCATATGGTTCATACTTGTGTATTCACGGTCCTAACCTCCTGGGGGCAGGTGATTGGCTGGCTATGAGAACCACCTTCTCTTCCTCTCCCCAGCCCCACACTGGCTGTCCCCAGGGCCCATCGTGTGGCCCCCGCTGGTTGCTGAGCCCAAGCCAGGATCCAGACCCTAGACTGCCTCTGATGTTGAGCCCTGCCAGTTGCATGAATGGGAGGGGACGAGGTTGGAGATGAGGTTGGGGCTGGTGCCAGGGGCAGGGGCGGGCAGGGCTGGCTGGCTGACAGCCAGCCTTGTGCAGCCAAGAAACAATGAGCCACAGCCCCTCGTGGTGTTTTATGGGTTTTCATCTCATCTTGCCACCAAGTGAGGCCTGAGAGATAGTAATTATCCCTACACAAATATCAGGGCATGATTACCCAGCTGGATTTACTGCCCTCTCTCCAACCAAGCCAAGATTGGATTAGGACACAATTAATTGATGGGCTGATCAACCCTTTAATGTGGGGCAATGTCAGGAGGGGAGCAGCAGCAAGGGACGGCTGAGAAGAGGGTGAGTCCGCAGGAAGATGCTGGAGGGCAGGGAAACAGAAACAAGGAGAACTGTGGGAGGGGGTGTTCAACATGGGCTCTGCAGGCAGGACGCCAGAGGAAGGGCAGGCTCTCCTCCCCACTCACTGAGCACAGCACCTGGGATGGGACCTGTCAGATGTCTCTCAAGCAGCAGCCCCTCCCACTCTCTTAGTCTTCCATTGTGAATCCTAGAGCAGTGGTGCAAGGCCAAGGCTGTACATTAGAATCCCCGGGGGGAGCTTTTATCACTCCCAGTGCCCAGTGTGTACCCCGGTCCAGCCCAATCCAAACCTCTGGGGACGGGACTCAGTTATCGGATTTCCATGTGTATTGGAGAAAGGGGGGCCACTATCCCAGAATCACCTTAGTTCCATGCTCAGCCTAACCGTAGCCCCTTTCATTCACTAATGCATTCATTCATTGGACAAATATTTATTAAGCACCTACTGTGTGCTAGGCACTATTCTAGACACTGAGAATGCCCCAGTGGATGAAACAGAAAAATCCTGCCCTTATGAAGTTTACACTCTATCCCAACATGACCTTATATTTCTCTAGGTACCTGACTCTCCTCACCTAGCCCCTTGACTCTAAGCTCCTTGAGGGCAAAAATCCCTGTCTTGGTCATTTTGTGCATCCCTCCGGCCCAGCCAGACCTTGAGTATCCTAACAGCACAATTAAAACTTAATAAGTGAATCCAGGAAGAACAGACCAGACACAAGCCATTAGGCCTGAGAGAAGGTTTTGCCAACAGAGGGCAAAATAGGGGAGACAGGCAAAATGGAGCCCCCCCCCCGAAAGTCCTGGGCTTCCTGGGTTTGACGGCACAAGTGTTCCTGAGAGAGGCTGGGGCTGGGCCCCCAGGGCTGGGGTGAGGAAGATGGTGCCCCGCAGCCTCAGCCTCAGGCGTGCACCTCCCCGTGACCTTCTGTGGGTTTGAGGGATGTCTGTGGGTTTGAGTTAATTTTTCAGTTGAGTGATTCAATTGATTCATCGACAGTGGGCGGGGTGTGGACTCCGGACATTTGTGCTGTGTCAGCACTTCCCAGGGTCCAGCTGGCATGACACTCAGCCATTGCCACCCTACCCACCGCGGTAACCTGAGATCCTCTCCAGGAGCCCCCAGCCAGCCCCTGCCTGCCCAGGGCATATGATGGGGGCTCCTTTAGCCTGTGGTAGAGCATCAGAAGGACCTGTGGCAGGACAGTCCCTGTCCTCTCGCTCAGCCAGCCTTTGGAATGTCAGCAGTGGAGTGCCCAGAAGAGGGCTGAGACCTGCATCCTAGCAGTGCTGTGAGGGGGGGTCAGTTTGTACAACCTGGGATCTTCCTTTATTTACTGGGTACCTTGGACAGGATATTTGATCTCTCTCAGTCTCAAACCCTTCATCTGTAGAACAGGAAAAATCATATCAATTTCATAAGCTCTTATATGTGGTTTGGGGGACAAGAAGAGATAAACCAAAGCACTTATATACTTACTAGAGTCCTGGTGCACAAAATTCGTGCATGGGTAGGGTCCCTAGGCCTGGCTGGCAATCTGGGCCAATTGGGGCCTTCTGGCTGCTGGCCAGGACCTTCCTTCGTTCCGCGCCGCTCCCTGGTGGTCAGCACACATCATAGCGAGCGATCAAACTCCCAGTCTCCCTGTCAAACTCCCAAGAGAACACTTTGCATATTAGCCTTTTATATAGATACTAGAAGCCTGTTGCACGAAGATTCGTGCAATAGGCCTTCCTTCCCCTGGCTGCCGGCACCAGTTTTCCTCTGGTACCCAGGACCCAGGCCTTTGGTCCGGCCGCAGCGGAGAAGCCAAGCCTCTTCAGTCTTTAGTCTTCAGTCTTCACTCCATCTGGAGCCTTCAGTCTTCGCTCCACGCCTGCATATGCAAATTAACCATCATCTTTGTTGGGTTAATTTGCATACTCATCTGATTGGCTGGTGGGCATAGCGGAGTGACACCAATTTTCATGTTTCTCTTTTATTAGTGTAGATGTATAGCCCATGGACATAAGCAATAGCGTGGTGAAGACCTGGTAGGGGTGGATAGGGGCTGGGAGGACAGGGGTAAAGGGCATAAATGAGAGACATCTGTAATACTGTGAACGATAAGAAATATACATTAAAATTGTTTTTCATAAGCTCAACTACAATGGCTCCATAGACTCTCTCCAGAGTCTTGACCATTGCCTACAAAGCCCCTCCTGACGTGAGCCAGGTTGCCTTTCTGACCTTGTTTCCTCCACTCTTCCTTTCACTCATTGCATCCCCACCTGAGGCTTTCGGGCATGCTGTTCCCTTTACTTGCTTTTCCCACCACTGTTCTCAGGGCTCACTCCTTCCCTTCACTCAGGCCCCTCCTCAGATGGACACCTTAAAATCATACCTTTACCACTCCTTATACCCTTCACTTGCTTTATTTCTCTTCATAGCCCTTCCCATTGTCTGAAAGCATGTGATGCATTTGTCTGTGGTTCACCTCTGCTTCTCTTCTGCTCAACTCCATGGGTATGGAAACGTTGTCGTGTTTGCTGCTGTATCTCCAAGACCAATGTTCTTATGTCACTCAGTAAACATTTAATACATCTATTTGAATGAACAAATGAGATAATGAAGGAAAAGCACTTATAGTGTCTAGGACTGAAGAAGTGCGCTCCAAGCAATGGTTGTTATGACTCTGTGGCATGAGGAAAGCCAGAGCCTCTAGCAGTGTCCTGGGCAGAGGTTCCATGGGCCTCCCTCCTGGCCCTTGAAAAAGGGAGACTCCAGGAGCAGAAAGAGAAAAGGACCATAGTGTAAACAACAGGCCACCCAGATGATGGTTCCAGATGGGATGGGTCAAGGGTTAAGAGTTGGAGAGTGGGTGAGAGGGAGGGAACAGAGAAAGGTTGACCACAATCCCAGGAAGGCCGGGGCCCAAAAACCAGCTACGGCTAAACTGATCTGGAAAAACACAAGCCAGTTTGTTGCAGGCAACACTAACTTGGTGAAAACCACGT